CCTACTCCCTGTGTGTCCTTCGTCCTACCCACGAACTATAATAATAATAATAATAATAATAATAATAATAATAATAATAAAGATAGTACTGATAGATTTGGGCAATTCAAATCGTCTCATCCCTAATAGATTGGTTCTATCCTCTTATAGAATTGGACAAGTCTATGGGAATCATATTGATTCCCGGTTCTGACTAAGAACCCAATCCATCCTCGCCAATTTTTGGTTCGGGTGGATAATTTCCTATGCTTACTGGTGAATTTTAGAATACTTCGTTAAAGATCAAGATGATAATAAGCATGTTATCTTTACCATCATAATCATGAATGTAAAATACTAATAATAATCTATTTTTTTGGGTAAATAGTAATAATGCACTTATTCTAATGAGTCCACCCTTCCATATTTATAAATCGATTGAGGATCTAGATATCTACATGTCTATCTCTCAATCTCTATAGTCATGAATCTAAAAAGACAAATGTAAATTTGTTAGCTTGAAAAAGGATCTATCTTGTAGTTTTTTTGTGATTAATTTTTATTTTTAATTAGAAAAAATTTATATAAAGTCTATATTGAAGAAGTAACGAGCGCCTCAAGAACCCATTAGAAAAGGTTGACTAACAAGAAAGCCCTCCAATTGATCATATTCACCTTGAGATATATGGATCCAAAAAGAAAAATAAGATTTCAATTCTTAAAAATAGTGTATCTTGTAACATATTACTTTGACGGTCCATTTTCAATAGTTCAAATGTTTATAGATCTGGGAGATCTACACTAGTTTTAGAGTTTTACATTTCATAATTAGAGATAAAAATAGATTTTCAAGCTACCCTAAGATTTTGGATACCAAAATTACATCTTCAAACAAAATTGGAGGTGCCTCTTACTTTTAATTATTTAAGGTTGAAATTCATTGATTCATTGATTCAAGGAATAAATAGATTTACGAATGCTTCAGATGTGGTTTGAGTCCAAAGTCGGACTCTTACATCCTAATACACGAGAAACGTTTCCACTTGTCATATAATGAAGTTGTGGGCTGGGTCGTGGTGGTACCACCCTACACCCTAGCCACCACGTCGTAGTTTTCATTCCCATTAACACTATCCTACTAACACCTTCAAAAACACCAACTTTTAAAGTATTTGAAAAACACTAACACCTTCAAAAACACCAACTCCTAAAGTATAGTAGGGGTATGTCTTCTTCAATGAATTACCTAAAAGAAAGTATTATGAAGTTTTCCTTAATTTGTTTACTCGGGCGAGCTAGCTCAAACGTACCCAAGTAACTCAAGCTCGCCACCCTAGCAAGCCTGACTATCCCTGAGTTGGGTTCTCAAGTTAGGTGCTCACGGGGATCCTAATATACATCCAAAAAAATCATAAAAAGTTTAAAAGATTAGATATTTATTAACAATGTGGTTTTTTTATGTTTTTTATCATTTTAACAAAGATTGGATAGTGTTTTGGAGATAATTACTTATTTTTATATTATTTTTTTTATTAATTTTAATATATCCCCGTCACAATTGATTTTGTTTCAAAATCCTATTATGAAGAATTTTTTTAGTATTTCTTTTTTATTTTTTAACACTTTTTGGCCTTTCGCCAAAACTCGACGCAACTCGGGCCAAATTACTCATAATCGGCTCGGACCTAGGCCGAGCACCCGGCCCAATTTGCACTTTCCTACACTGGTCATCGATATTTCAATTTGACTAGCATGCCTAATAACCCCCTTTTCTCAGGGGATGGGAGGGTAAATTCCCTTCCTTTAGTAGAGTAGCCAAAACGGACACTTAACGCATTGAATGTTACAGAGATTGGCGTTCGTAGATTAACGGACCCTTCTGGGATTAGGTGAGGTAATGGCCCCGGTTGATCGGCCCATACAACCTGGGTCTGGACCGATAAATTTTGCTAGAGAGCGGGTGAAGTCTGTAATCTAGGCCCGGTGTTCAGGGCTTGATAGGGGAGGCATTTGGGTGAGACCAACCACTCAACTCCATGGGTTGATTTGACTTGGGTCTAAATCAGGATCGACCAAATATATTACATGTAATATCGATTAAAATATACTCTTCATATATTATGAAACATATAAAATATTATTTTATTATTTTTATATTTAGACACAAACTACTGGGTCAGGTTCGAGTACAGCTAGGACCTAATCAAGTCAAGACGGGATCAGCTTGACTTGAATCCATTTACACCTTTGAGGTGGGGCAGCCCCACTATATTTTTTTTTATAAAAAATTTATTTATAAATTTAAAAAAAAATTATCAGAAATATATTTTAATTTTTGATAAATTAGAAAAAAAAAAAAAAATCTTTAACTTTCATAAACCTCGTCTACACCCTTGTTTTTGAGTTTTGCCATTTAAAATACTTCAAGTTATCACGGTATTTAAAATGCAGTATAAAATGGGGTAATCATTACAACATTTAAAGTACCATAATGCTAGAGCTTCACAATAATATGACTACTACGAAGACTAGTTTGATTAAAAAAAAAAAGCCTAAAAAAAGGCGTGTATGAGGTTTATGAACGTTGAGGTTTTTTTTTTTCAATTAGGAGAAAATAAAGTTATATTTTTTATAATTTCCCAAAAATAAAAAAATAAAAAACCCTCAAGTACTCATTGTGCTTCCATACCTTCAATTTAGTTGTTAGGTAGTTCCAGTTATGATAAAAATAGAATAAAACAAGAATATAGAAAATAACAATGACAATATATGGTAGATATTAATGTGAAAAAAATGATCAATTCGAAAAAGGATCGTAAATTGAAGAGATTACTGAGAAAGGCCGATTCCAGCAAGTATTTCTCTTAAATCTATAACCAAGAATATGAAATAAAAGCACTATCAAGGTCATGGACATTTTTTACACAAACACAAAAAAACAAAAGGATAAATTATTCACTTCGCAGTAGGCAGTTGGTAACGGCAGCTACTCTCGTACTCTAGCCAAGCAACAATGTACTCCCCATGATATTTGTGCCAACACGGCATCGCCTTCGCATCAACCGTTCCAAAATCCATCTCAAATATGCAAATAGTGCAGACAACTTCTTCATCTTCCATATCTACTGTCTTTAACGACTCCACTGCAAGCCTAACGGCTTGCCTCTCCATAGCAACCCTCTCTAAGTGCTCCATTCCATAACAACTCCCTATCCTCCGGTCTAGAAACAAAGTCGATACTGCTTCAACTTCAACTACATCATCTACCTCTCTCACCATCTCAATTAATGACCCCTAATTTCTCCCAGAATTTATTAGTGAGATGATCGATTACGCGATTGATGGTTTGGTAGGCCTCATCCACATGATGCAACATATCCTCCAAAAAATGATAAGTGATTGATCTGGTGTTTAGCCACTGGGTAGATGTTATGATGGTGATACACTTCTTTATCTTGCTGAACAATGGAGATGGAAAGAGGGAAATTCATTTTTTGGATCTGCATAAATATCGCTCATATTTATTGCAATGTGAAACTTTACTCGATATTTTACGTCTGCGTTCATGTCCCACTGTTTCATTCAGACATGGTTGCCCTAAGACCATCAAAGTCTCTCTTTCATGTTAATTATTAACAATTTCATCCATGAGCTGTAGATTTCATAGGAAATATGACAGTCTCTGCAATATTCCAATGAATCCAATGATTCTCTTTTTAATCAAATTTTTATAGGGTTAATTCTGAAAAATTAATTCTTCCTAGAAATACATAATTCTTTGAATATTGAGTTTACTTTCTTGGTGAGCTAGGATTAAGGCATGCCTCCTTTTTGTATTAGATTCATCTGATACGCCTTTTGTTAAATATTTAGACAAACAAAAAAGAGTTCCTACTAATGAATCAATTTTTTTCGTAAAAAAAAAAAAAAAGAAAAAAAAAATTCGTACATGGCTTGTGTTTTTTTTTTTTCTTCTTCTATATTTTCGGTGTCGTTGGCTATTTAAAATCGTTTTATTTGATTTATGTGGGTGTCAAGAGCCTCCCTGTGTTGCTTTGATCC